ACATGAAAAGAAGGTATTTTTTTCAAAAGTATTTTATTAATTTTTCATCAATATATTGTATAAAAAAAAAATAAAAAAAAAAAGATGGTATAGAGTATTTTTTTTTACAGTAAAAATGTTTAAATTGGTTATAATACGTTTTATTATAAATAATAAAGTTTTAATAATAAGTTAATCAATTTAGAAAATGTTAGTTACAAATCTATTTATCTATTTTTTTTTAATTTTTATGATAAATTATACTAATAATAAAATTAAGGTAAATGGTATAATTAATATTTACATAAGAGAAAAGATAATAAAAATAATTTACTATGAAATGAAAATTTTAATGAGAAAAGGTAAAATAGTCTTTTGTAATGGATTTGTCCTTAATTGCTACAAATCAATAATTCAGGGGACAGTTTTTAGTTCAGGAGAGTTATTTGTAGAAAGGCAATACTTAAGGAGTTTTTTTAACGCTTAACCCATTAATATATCACAGATGTTATGTTTCGTTTTCAATTAATCACTCTAGTGTCAATCAACATGTCAAGATACTAATATATCTTTCAATGAATGATTAGATGCAGGGACAAGATATGATACAATACGAATATGACGATACGATAAATTTTAAAAAACAAGACACGATTTTTGTCATTTTATTAATATAATCATAAATAAATTAATAATTTGAAATTTTGAGTTAGATATTTGTTATTTTTGTTTTCTAAAATTTTATATTATTTTTTAATTATCCCATAATATATTAAAATTGCATTGAATTCTATTCTTTTAAAAAATAATAATTACTTGTAAAATTACCTCGTCGTATTATGAAAGTATTCAAAACGTATCTTTATCGTGTTCTAGTCGTATCCGATCAAAAAATAAAATATATATTATATAAAATAGTTCTAATTGTATATGATATGTGTTCGAGCCATATCCACATATTCAAAATATGGCGGAGTATCAAATACAGTCATGGCACATGCAGAAAATTGTCGGTGCTTCCTAGTCTATAAATACTCCCCCTATCTCAAAATAAGTGTCATGTTTTTCTTTTATCTGTTCCAAAATAATTGTCTATTTTTCTTTTTCAAACAATATATTTCACATATTTCCAAATATATTTTTTGAATTTTAAATTTTAAACTTAAATATTCAAAACTTAAAAGGGTAATTTAGTGTCTTTTCAAAAAATAATGCATATTCCATAAGTTTTCTTAAAAATTACTCTCTGTCTCAAAAAAAAAATGTTCTATTTAAAAAATTATAAATCATATAAGTTACAATTTTTCAAACAAAATATTTAATTTGGAACGTAAGTAATATTATACTTAAAAAACGACACTTAAATTTGGACAAGTGAATAATAAATTTGAGTATATTGAAACAACCCTAATTACTAGTACAGTCTTTATTAAATCACACACGCCACCTGTACTGTCCGCTGCAAAGAATATTAGTCAAATGTCTACTTCCCACCTTTGCCTTTATTTAATTAGACGAAGAGACTATTTTCATGTACGAAACGTCTAACCAACTACTTAATTAAATCAATCGTACACTAAACAATTACTTAATTAATGTGACCACAGGGAGAGAATAATTTAAGAAAGAAAGATGATGAGTGTGTTTTGAGGCACAGAGAGAGAGAGAGAGAGGTAGACTTGACCACACGAATCAAACCGACACGTGTCGGTGGCCCGATCGCTTAAAGCAGCAGAGCACTCCACGAGGGAAGTGGAACTCCTCGCCCATAAAGTAGTCAGTCAAAACCCTAGACCCCAAAAAGGGCCATCCCCGAGGTTAGTCAAATTTCTGAGCTGGCACTCTAAGAAAGGCACGCTCTCTGTGGGTCCCCCCCCCCCCCCCCCCCCACGAGCTTCCAGCTTCCTCTATGTTTTTTTTTTTTTTTTTTTTTTTTTGGGATTATATATATATATATATATAATTTATAATTTAAGAATACCCAAAAATTATTTTTTTTGTGTGATGAAAAAATAAATGAAAATAGTATACTACTATATATAATTCAACATTGGAATTTCAGAAGTGAACAGGACTGTCCGTGAGATGGGTCCACTCGACTCACTATTTCTCTCTCCTACTAGAATAACTTTACACTTTCTTCAATTCCTAACCATGACATGCATCACATTTAGAGAGAAATACATTTACAAGGATATTGTAAAACACTTGTATATGGGTTTGATTCTGCTTTAATTTTTAAAATTTTTGACTTAAAATGTTACTTGTATGTCGGTGAGTAGTCGGGGAGGATTAAAATATATATATATATATATATATATTGTAAAATTAAGTTATAAATACTTGTCAGGAAAAAAAAAAAGTTATAAATACTTTGAAAATTCATTTATTCTCAAAATTATTAAGAAAATTGAATCAAAAGATATTGATTTTAGAAATTTGATATTTTTCAGATTTTTTTTTCATTCAAAATTTTGTACCAAACACAAAAAATCATATCCTTTCAATTTCTTTTCAACCAAACTAAACCGCTAAATTATATGGGAAAAATGTCATTTGGAATCCATTTTTAGTAATTGTTTTATTATTATTTAAAACAAAAAAACTTGTGTCCAAAAGAATTGCATAGATAGGTTTTTCACATTACTTTTTCAAACAAAATGCTAATCACTATCGATATTTAATTATTAGTCTCTGCACTATTACTCCCCGTTTGGTCAGATGAATACAAAAATAAATGGAAGAGAGAGAATATGTAACCGTAAGGAAAAGAAGTTTTTAATTCTTTTGTTTGGTTGAGTAGGAGCCAAGAAATTGATGATGACCATTTATGTTCAAAGACGGTTTCATCAACAAATTTGTCATGAAATTGATGATGACCATAATTTTGAAGGCGTTTCATCGAAAGTTTTGTCCTCCTCCTTTTCCATCTCTCACTCTACCAAAGACCAAAGCATCTATCCTTTTTTTTCTCTGACCATTATTTTCAAAAACGCTTCATTAATACTATTTATTATTATTATTTTTATTTTATCTATACTTATAAGTACAATGTAATAGTAATATGTTTACCCTATGGCGCAAATGAATTGAGAATAACTCGAGTTCGACCCTTCGTTAAGCAAATGAGCTAAGCCCTAATTTGATTTTTTAATTTGTTTAGTTAATAAGTCGATTCTGAACCGTATTGAGCTCAACTCATATATGTTCGTGAATATAGTCTTGTATAGGGCGCGTGAACTCGTTCACAAATATAAACTTGTATAGGTTTATGAATATGATCTCGTGAAACATAAACTTATGTGGACTCATTTATGTTAATGAACAATCTAAATGATCTTAAACACGAGCTCAAATCGAGTTCGAACAAATTTTGTATTAATCAAGCTGAGTTGTTACCAAACTTAGCTTTTCAAGCTTGCCACAATCCTGTGCCAAGCTAATGAATGAGCCGAGCCAGCTGAAAATTCGGAATAAATAGTGGGTAAGTTCTAGTTCACATTTTGGACATTACTCAATAACTTAGTTGATAGAATGCTTAGCTCCCACAATGATCATGGCTTTGACTAAAATTCCTGACCGGATGGAAGGGAAGATTACGATGATATGTTAGAGAGAGAAAGAGAGTAGACAGAGTCAATTTACAAAGATGATTTGAAGAGAGAGAAAGGATAATGATAATAAATAAAAATAAAATTATTGTTTACATTAGCATAGAGGGCATTTTGGGATTTTTTTTTAAAAAAAAAATGGTTAAAATAGATGACAAGGGAACAATTTGCTCAAAAAAATGAATAATACAAAGAATTATGTGTAATTTTTTTTTCTTTTTTTTTTTTTTTGTGTATAGCCAGGAATTTTTTTTGCTTTTAACCCTTATTAATTTTATCGTTTTACAAACAAATAAAATATCATGAATTGTCATATTTTTATATTAATATTCTTTTCACGTGTAAGATTAAATGAGGATGACAATTTATAATGAATTTGGTTCTTCAATACTTTTGGTTTTTTTGTTAGAGAGTTAGGAGATAGTGGTGTTAAGGTGACACTTAAGATTAGATCATTTACCACCCGAATAACACTGTCATACTTGTATGTGCTGATTCCAAAATTTAAATTTTTTTCTTCTTAAAACTAAATTCCAACTCCAAGTTAAAAATTTGATGCAAAAATGGAACTAAATTCAATTGACTCAACTAAAGAGAAAATATTAGATAACGTGGTCTCGACCAATCATATTAATTGAATGATCTGTAAATATTCCTACATGTATATTTGTATTGTTACTATTATAAAATTTTATTTTCATTTTTCAAAAGTTTGTAGCCCAAATGAACATGATACAAGCTATGAAGCACAAATATTTTTTTTATTTTCATAGTTGGTACTAAGAGGCTGATACCGCTAGACCACTGGCCCGTTAGTGAAACACGGACACTATTACGAAGAAGTCGTACCCGTGTCAGATACCGACACTTCTCTAATACTATTCGAATACGTGTCCGACACTTTATATTCGTGTCCATAAATAATAATTAATTTTATTATTTGAGATATTTGGCGGATACTTTGCCGACACTTCTTGGACTTTTTTAACTCAAATTAAGAATATTATCATGATAAAGTAGTGAGATAATGATATATATATATATATATATATATATATATATATATATGATATAAAAATCATTACAATAATGACATAATTTAATTTTATAATTAATTTCATACACAATTAAAATTTTATAATATATATAGTTGTGTTCACGCCGTATACATATTCTAATTTTTTAATCCTTTATGTGCTACATAGGATGCGAGTATTTGCCTTGTAATGAATCTATAGAAAATTGTAAATAATAATAATAATAATAATAATTAAAAATAAAAATTCATAGAAAAATGTATCACATAGTTTGACTGCAAGTTACCGTAACGGCATATAACCCTTAGCTCCCGGTAATCTCTAAAAACTCTCTCATTTTCCTTTTTTTATTTTTATCTATTAATAATTTGTAGGGTTTTCAGCACCTGCCCCAAAAGAGGAGCAGAGGAGGAGTCCCACATTGAGATTAGCTTTTCTCTCTCTCACTTCCTTCTCTCCACTCGGTATGGCTCTGAGCCTTCCGATTCTTTAATGATCTGAAATAATCTCGTTGTGGGTATCACAATTCGTTGAATTTTGTGTTCAGTTTGGTGGGCACTATTCATCATTGAGTGCTGGATTGTTACCTTCTCTCACTTCTGATTACCTCTTGTTTTTTTGATAATTGTATATTATTATTATTATCTCTTCCGATCTGGCTTGAATGATTTCACTCTTTTTGAGCTTCAACATGAAGTGAGCTTTGGTATTAGAGAAGAAGATTTCATGTTCATGATGTGTTTGATCAAGATGATGATGATGAGAAATGAACAGTGTCTCTTTTGACCAGAGAAAGAAAGAGATCAGATAAAGCAAAAAAGAGGCCATGAAGAAAAGATGTCCCCTTTGATGTGTTTTGTTGATGGTAATTGTCAATGACAGAGAAATATATATCTAGAGAGAGAAAAATAAAAAAATAAAAGAGTGTAAGACTCTTCCTTTCTCTTTTTCTCTTTTTTCCTCCACACGCTTCATTTCTGTCCCGTGGATGTGATGTGCCTTGAAGAAGATTAGCCTTGTTTTGCATTGTTTCACTCGCAGAGAGACTTCTTAAAGTGTTGCTCTGTTTTGCGTTTTCTTCTTCTTTTATTCAGTTCGATCTCTTCTTTCTTTATCCACAGAAAGTGTTTGTAAAAATGCCGATGAATGCGCCCTCTAGTCGGAGGAGAGACGGGGATGTGAAGTATGATGTGGGTGGTGGTGGGCATGTGTTGGATCTGGAAACCGCCGTGAAAGATGGGATTTTGGGCGGCGGAGGTGGGGTTGTTTGCGGCGGAGCCACCGTGGAGAAATTGGATCTGAAGAAGATGATCGAAGAGCTGGAGTCGATTGAAGTCCCGACGGTGTTCATTTGCCCCATTTCGTTGGAGCCAATGCAAGATCCAGTAACCCTTTGCACTGGGCAGACGTACGAGAAGTCCAACATTCTCAAATGGTTTTCTCTAGGGCACTTCACTTGCCCCACCACAATGCAAGAGCTTTGGGATGATTCAATCACGCCAAACAAGACCCTTCACCATCTAATCTACAGTTGGTTTTCGCAGAAGTACTTGGCGATGAAGAAGAGGTCAGAGGATGTGCAAGGAAGGGCTTTGGAGCTTTTGGAGACTCTGAAGAAGGCCAAGGGTCAAGCTAGGGTTCAAGCTCTCAAGGAGCTTCGGCAGGTGGTTGCAACCCATGATTCAGCAAAGCAAACGGTGGCGGACAATGGTGGGGTTAGTTTGATTTCTTCTCTACTTGGTCCTTTCACCACTCATGCGGTTGGATCAGAAGCACTGGGGATTCTTGTGAACTTGGATCTCGATTCGGATTCGAAGTCGAATTTGATGCAGCCTGCTAAAATGTCATTGATGGTGGACATGTTGAATGAGGGTTCAATTGAGACAAAGATCAATTGTACCAAATTGTTTGAGTTGTTAATAGAGGGGAAAGAGTTTAGTTCTGAAATTGTGTCAAGTTTGAGTCTTTTGGTAGGATTGTTGAGATTAGTGAAGGATAAGAGATACCCAAATGGGATATTGTCTGGACTTGCTTTGCTCAAGACCATTTGTTCACATGAACCCATTAGACATTCGCTTGTGAGCATTGGGGCTGTTCCTCAATTGGTTGAGCTCTTACCCAATTTGAATGCTGACTGCTTAGAGTTAGCACTTTATATCCTCGAAATTCTTTCAATCCTTCCAGAGGGTAGGTTGGCTTTAAAAGATTGCCCCAACACTATCCCGAATGCTGTAAAGTTATTGATGAAGGTCTCAGAGAGTTGTACTCAATCTGCGTTGTCGGTATTGTGGGCTGTTTGCAAGCTTGCCCCAGAAGAATGTGCTTCGCTTGCTGTTGATGCCGGTCTGGCAGCGAAGCTCCTCCTTGTGATTCAGAGTGGTTGCAATCCGGTGTTAAAGCAAAGGTCAGCAGAGCTATTGAAATTGTGTAGTCTAAACTATACTGCTACCATTTTCATTTCCAAGTGTAAGCTTACAAGAACAATACAGTGAAGGGAATTGTCAAATTGTTCATATGCACCCACTCATTTTTCCTTCCACCGGAAGGACCATGGAGCTCTGAAGATTCGTTTGTATCAAGGAGAATGAATGAATCCGAAACAAAGTGAAATAGGGTTCGTGGCGGTACTTCTTTTCTCCTCCCCTGTATATTAAAGAACTTCAATTCTGTCAATTGATATTACTTGAAAAACAAGAGCATCATAATGTGGATTCATAGACTGATTTTGCTCAATAAGTCCCTTCAAGTCTGTGATCCAAATTGATTCACATCTGTTCGTTCACAATGGTACTGGCTACTGGTGACCAATTGCATAAGTTGTTTCAATCTGCAAGAAGGAGCTGTAAATCATGTCTCTGAAAATGGAGTTTGGATTGGGATGTGAACACTCATTGGAATTGGGGGAAACAATTCCAGCAGGGGCCTGTCTCTGCAGTTGTTAATTGTATTAGGGTTTTCCTGCCATTGATCCCAAATTTTACCCCTCATGTGGGGGTCTTTGTAGATCAATTTGCTCATTGTTCAAAGGGTTGTTTCACTTTGAGTCCACCATTGTAGAGCTTGTAGTATTTGGCCTTTCAATATAAGAATCAAGATGTATATTTGATGTCCAATTTCTCTTCTTCTTCTTCTTGTCTATTTTGATTTCTAAAATTTCTGTTTTTGTATGCCACAAGACACTGAGCTTGCTATGTTCTTGCTATTGCTGACAGTATGACCCACTATAATTGATATAAAGCTGCCAGCCCACCTTATAATCCCCTCCTAAACATGGTGTCTTGTTTTTCATTAGTCATTTCATTCATTTCAATTCAAATTTGAGGTCTATTATTTTATGTATTTATTCAATTGTCTATCTATACTCCTATCAGAGAGTGACTTATGAGCAGAAACATTATATATATATATATATATATATGCTAGTATTTGTATATATAGAGAGAGTGCTTAAACTGCGTTCCAGTCTTCCATATGGAGATACAATCATACAAGACTATATGAGTCCTTAGCATGTAGTATGGGATACAAAATTTTAGGTGGAGTTCAAGGCCTAATAAGTAAAACTATGGTCAAGTCAATACCTTGAATCTCAAATTGACTCTCAAAATAACATTTTGGAAAGGAAAATGATGAAGGATTGGATCGGTATTATTAAAATACGTTGAGATTATTTTATTTAGAGCTTAAAAATACCATTGTTGAGCCCGTAGTTTTTAGCCTTTCAATATAAGAATCAAGATGTAAAGTTGATTTGATGTGCAATTCCATGTATTTTGATTTCTAAATTTCTGTGTTTGTATGCTACAAACCACTGAGCTCGCTGTCTTCTTGCTATTGTTGAATGTTGACTATATGACCCACTATAATTGATATATAACCCCCAACCCAGCTTATAATTCACTCCTAAATCTTTGGTCTTGATTTTGATTAGTCATTCAATTCAATTCAAATCGGAGGTCTATTATTTATGTATTTATTCATTTGTCTATCTATTCGAGAGTGACTTCTGACCAGAAACGTTATATATATGCTAGTATATGTATATATAGAGAGAGTGCTTAAATTCTCTTTCAGATGGAGACATTAGACTATACTAGTCTTGACATGTAGTGCGGGATACTAAATTTTAGGTGGAGAGTTAATAGGGTCAAGTCAAGCACTTCAATCTCAACTTGAGGATAGTTTTTTAGACATGAAATCCATCGATTTTACCTGCTCCATTGAGATGGTGTTCAATAAAGACTTTTCGATTTTACTTGCAACCCTGGTAGATAGGGATTTTACCTGCGTGACCCTGGTAGATAGTGTTCCGTAAAAACTTTTCGATTTTACTTGCGACCTGGTAGATCGATTTTATTTGCATGACTGTGGTGGTGTGGTAGATAATGTTCAATAAAGACTCTTAGATAGTGGATAACAAAAACCAATAACCACTTATAATGAGGTTGATTTCCCAATGGCCTAATCAAGATACAGCACATGTGGTTAGTGGGTAATCACATGCACTTTGTTATAAAAATGGTTCATAGATTAGGTTTTGGAGTTAGGGTTTTGAATGAATGGATAGTTTGTGTGTTTCTTGGAACTGGGTACTGGCGTTTACTGTTGAAAGGGAACAAATTTTCTTGGCACAACACTGAGCCCACGTGCACTCCCTTGGACCAGGCAAAAAATAAAAGGAAAAAAGAGGTTGTAAAGAGCACCAAACACTGCCTTACCTTAAAAGGAGAGTAGGAAACAAGTTTATGTTGGCCTTGGCAATTTTGGTATCTTTGACTGAGACACAAAGTCATGAATCTACAGAGAAAAAGCTTACTAGCTTGGAGATGAGAGTCATTCAAATCTTTTTTATTTAATGGTTAGAGTGATTCTAACAATAATATATTGGTTGAGTGTTGGCATAATATCGTAATTATTAATTTACTTTTCTTAATGGCCTGTTAATTTTTTTATTATTGGATGAATAACAAATTGAATATGAATTAAAATACAATTCAATCTAACTTTATCGAATACGAGGATAGGTCTAATTAGAACATATTTTCTTTTTGAATTCTTCTGTGAAAAAAGCTATAATTATGAATACTTCATGCAGGGATTAAGATTCTCTCTTTCTTTATGTCCGATCATGTTCAAACAACCTTTAGGAGATTCTTTGATGATCTAGTGGTTAAATTTTGATGTCAAAATTCATTAAATAAAAATAAAAGTGAAAGCATACACATTGATAAGATATTTATCATCTGAGTCCTCTTGGCTCCTACTAAATTTGATTAATTTGCTAATCAAGGCACTTCATGTGATTTTACTTTGATGTATTTATACTCCTTTTTTTTTCATAGCAAGTGATATGATTTTCTCTTCAATAGCACCATCAAGAATAGAACATGTAATATAGCATGTGTATTAATATTCACTCGTTAAGTATATTAATTAATGGTCCATTTGGTAGATAGAAGGAAGAGGGTTGGAGAGAAGATGAGATGGAAGAAATTAATTTTCTCTGTTTGGTAAAGAGAAAACAAGAGGGAAGGGAAGGGAAGGGAAGGGAAAAGAGGATTGATGCGAAAGAAAGTTGTCACCTGCTTTTCTTATATTCTCTTCCATCCAACCAAACGAAGAAAAACAAAAAAAAAAAAAAATAAATAAATAAATAAAGAAAAAAAAGGGATAATATTCCTTTTTTAAGAATATCATTGATCCCTTCTTCTCTCCCTCTCACTCAATTTTCTTTCTTCTGACAAAAGAGAGCATATTCCCTTTAGGAAGCAAATTTTGGCACCTGAGGCTTACCATGAAGATGAGGGTTCGCTGTATTGAGGCTCGAACCTTGGACCTCTTTTTGAAAAGTAGGGAACGAGTATCGCTAGGTCACTCGCCTGTTGATTCACTTTGACATCGAATTAAATCAGCCAATCACCATTTTTGACGTATAAGTAAGTGTGTCAAAAATGTGTAATCTTTATTCAATTTTTTTATTCAAGTGTCAAATGGTGTTTGGCTAGGGACCAATAACACCCATTGAAGTAGGAGGGCCTAAATGCCAATAAAATATGTTCATCTGAGTCAAGTGGGAGAGTTGCTCTTAAACATCAATGGTAGTAGTAAACTGAACAGTCCAAATGAGATTTGAATAATATTCCAAGCTCATCAACCATATTATAATGACAGTGATTAAGAACACAACCTCCAAAAAGAGTTGTTGAAGGTAGCATAATGGAACAAACCACATTTTATATTTACTTAACCATAATATACCATCTAATCCATTGTTAATATATATATAATTAAATGTCAATGTCCATTATGTTCAAGCTGAATTTTTGTTTATTTTGAAAACGAGTGAGATCTGATAAAGACTTAAATGTACTTTAGTTTCACGTGTAGTCAGAATATGAACAACATTGTCTCGGGTGTTTATTAATGATCTCTGGTTCTTTTCTTACTTACATAGTCAACCAAGAAAAACCATGAAACATATAAATAGCTCTATGATTTATTTATTTATTTATTTTTAAAAAAGTATATACTAATGAGTCAGGATGTTCAGTATCACTACTCATGAGATCTTTGTGACCAAATTAATCCTTGCATTTCATAAAAAAAGAAAAAAGAAAAAAAGAAAAAGAAAGTAAGAGTATGAATAGAAACAGGAATTCCCATTTGACGTCAAGTGAATGATAAAAAATTTTGAAGTAGAAAGTCATTATCTAAAATGATGAGAATGACAAACTAGGTACATAGAGTGTATCAAACAATGACCTATATGAAAATAACAATTCTTAGGTGCTCACTCCTAACAAGTGAGGATATACATTATTTTCATTCCTAGTGTGGATTAATAATAAACGGATGGAAAAAGTTTATCTTAGGTCGCAGGTCGTATAAGTAGGGTTCTCCTTCTTATGTTGATCCAATAATAACATGACATGTGTTGAAAAAAATTAAACCTAAATCATTTAGATCTTTTCACGGGTTATCTAAAAAAGAAGAGGATTTTCTCTAATGCGTGTGTAAGACCTGGTAGCAGTCTCTCCTTCTCTTTAACTCACGATTCTTCTCTCTTCACACCAAATCTCCATTGATGCCTACTATCTCCCCAATTCTGACCCTAACATTAATCCTCTTTTTCACCAACCGACCTCCACCACTTCTACTGCTTGCCACCTCTTCCATTTCCAAACCTTAATCTTTTATATCTAATCTTTAAAGATGATTCAAGTCGCCACATTCGTTGTCTGCCATCCCTGTTTCAACCTGATCTCCAAAATGACTCAAGAGGCCGACCAATTAAAAAATATGCATAACTCTAGTGGCATCCAAAATTTTGAGATTTATCACCACCTGTTGCAATCTGAAGCCAAATTGATTTCCTTAAACTTTATTGATAATTGGAGTCTATGGTTAGTAACCAATTGCAATATGAAGGGTTTGCAATAGAAAATCTCAAATGCATAAAAAAATTTATATATATATCTTTCCTCTTGGATGATCCGCAAAAAGATCCAAACAATTTTTATTAATTATTTTAAAAAGTTTTTGGCATGTTATATTTTTATTGGTCCGTGTCAGCATCACAAGGACATTCCTACCTATGCGGCCTAAGGCAAACATTGTTTTAAACGAATACATCTTCTTTAATTATCAAATCAGAGATGGGGTATATACTCACTTACCAAATCAAAGATGATGGTATATTCGATAATGAAAGAAAACATGTTCATTTATTATTGGTCCACATCAGTGGCGATGACAGTGTACATCCTCACTGGTGAGGATCTAAGTATTGTCCGAAATAAAAATTTTGTCAAGTTTAGTTTAAGGACAATATTTAGGTCCTCATTGGGAAGGAGTCGTACTCTAATCTCACCACGAATGTAAACTAATAATAAATAGACATGTCGGGTTTAATTATCAAATTAGAAATGGTAGATATATTTTTAATTACCAAATCAGAAATGATGGAGTATATATTTACTAATATTTTTTTTAATTTTATAATTAAAAAATATATTTATTTATTATTGGTCCACATTAATATTAAGGATATAATATATTCTTACGTACCCAAGTATTGTATGTTATTTATTTGTTAGATACGAAAGAAGGATATTGACTGACGCTAAACACAAACACAACTAGTATAATGTTGGCCGAGCAGTGGGTTAATTTAGTAAATAGATCACCAAGAAACCAAACAATGTATGCAATGGAATCCCTTCCATGGCCCAGTATGGAGTACAAAAGACTGAAAAAGCAAAATCAAATCACAATTTCTTTACATTCCGCTGCTTTCAGAGTTGAACTCTGTCCAGCCCACATGAGTAATGCTTGCCTATTTTTTCCTTCTGCATTGA